CCCACTTAACTGTGGCTATCCTGCACGCTTTATTCAGAAGTACCGAAATTCTCTAGGGTCAAAATTGATGGAACATTCAGTTCCAAGAAAGCCCATAATTATATCCTTACCCTTTAAGGGCGTTGACATTTCAAATACAATCAAGTGGAGATTACGCTGTACTATAGATAGGACCCACAACGCAGCAAAGCTCGTCTTCTTAAGTTCGATTAAAAGCATTCCAGTAATACGGGCAAGGTATGCCTTGCCATTGCATGCCACCTCACATTCTGTGTACAAATTCACCTGTACTTGCGGATGCAAGTACATTGGGCGCACGCAAAGGCAACTGGCGGCCAGGGCCGCTGAGAACTTGCCCAACTGACTTTTCAAGCAAGAAGACAGAGTACCACGGTCCTCTATTACCAATCATCTACTTGACAGCGGTCATTCTGTCAACGTCAAATCAGCGTTCAGAGTACTTGTTCTGGCCCGAACAATTCGAACCTTGCACTATTTGGAAGCTGCCTTCATATAACGAGAGAAACCTGACCTATGCAAGCAGCTTGACCACGTGGTCAACCTCCAATTACCCTGGTAATTGGTTACTTAGTTTTAATCCCCAAGTGATTTTCGTTTACTTTCCCTCAATCCCCACCAACCTTCCTTCCCATACATTGATTAATGCAGTATCCTTTACCTGATCATTATTTAATTTGAACTGTGACCCTTGCTGTTATGTCATTCATTCTGCAAAATTTCAAGCGGTTGCATGTTCACTTCGTTATCATCCTCATGCAGCGAAAAGATGCGGCTGAGAAGCTGTCATGAAATTTATTGACGCCAACTAATCCTGCCGTATATTCTTGTTTTAAATGTTGAAGAAAAATAAGTCTAGAGCGTTCTAGACAGTCGTATAGCCAGAAATTATGCCGTGAAACAATGAGATCGAAGTGACTAGCCTAGCATTTACTGATACTTAAATGAGTCCCAGATATGTCTCTACGACTTCGATGGATTAAATGTTTCAGGTCACCTTAGCCCTGCCAACCACCTTAAATAAATTAGAGAACTTTTTGTTGCTTCTACTTTTAAACTGAACCTAACTCAGTAACATTTATTGTAAATAGTTAACGGCTTCAACCTCACCCAAGGCGGCTGACGTGCGCCGATTTATGATCATAGAAGACTAATATCTTCATTGGCCCTAGATTATCCTTGACAGTCACTGAATGCGAAATTATGCCGTGGCAGAATGAGAACAAATAGACTGACCTAAAGCAGAATGATGGCCAATACAGTGAAACCTCGGGTGACTAGCAACGCCGTCTATTAGCATTTCAGGTAACGAGCGAACCACTAGCAGATAATTTGTTTCGATGGACTGGCATGCGCTCAACTAAAGTATTGCCGGTGCGTGTGTCCTTATCCTAATCGGAAGCCTGCAGCCACTCAGTGAACAGATGCAGTCTGATAAGTAACGTTTAAGGAAAACTGTTTCACATGACGTGCCCGATGCGGGAACGCTTTACATTTCTTAATCGTTGGTTTAATTTTAGAGGTCAAACCCATCCAGGCAACTAACTCGACTGGATTTGCGTACTTCTTGTTGCTTCTCCTTCATTGATTAAATTAACTCGGTAAGGTGAATTTTTTTTCAATGGCTGATGACTTAAACTCGACCCAACTTTTTGATGTTCTTGAACGGCCACCCCAGCTTCAATTTATGATCAGAGAAGACCTGCAGTCAGTGTACTGGATGGTATTTGGAAAAAGTGTGATTTGGTTTGATCGGATAGAGAAGCTGTCAGGAGAGAGAGAGAGAGTTCAGAAGATCTTAGCCGAATCTAAACATAAGGAAGGACCGCCCCCGATGGTGGATGTGGGCAAAGGCTCTCGGCTGATGTTCGATGTGGCTACAAGAAAAAATAAACAACTGGGCGTGAGAGAAAGAGAGAAGAAAAAGTCACAAATAAAACTAACAAACCATCGCACATACAATGGGGCCAAAAGAAGCTCTTTGGTATGACCAAATCAACAGCATGAACATTTCTTCGAAGACATTTTTAGTATGATCATTATCATTTTCTACCTTACCGCAATAATGTTGAAAATAATAAGTAAGATCATGGAGTCTTAGTGGACTATGCAGCCTTTTTTAACGTTTATAATTAAATCTAAAAGTGCAGAAGAGCAACCCTCCCGTGTATTTCCACTTCAGGGAAGGGTGCTACAGAAAACAGCCAGGGAGACGGGGTGGACAGATCTGATCAACTATAGTCTTCAGTCAGCCTTAGTCGACCTCATGTGTGATAAAATCTGGTTTCTTTTAGTTAATTTGTGTCAATGACTCTGCTGAGCTGGCCAGTAAACCCAAGTTTCGTTACCCCATCAGGTTTTACAGAGTACATATATTAACATCCAACCGGACGAATTTAACCTCGAACACAGTCCCTGACATCGCTTGTTGAAGTTTCACAATACGTAACAGACATCAAGAAGAGACATTGAATGAGGAGTACGAATGTCATCAATTTGATTATCAACTGAGAAAAAGAGACTTTATATATTATACTTTTATTGAGATTTTTAGAGCACATTTTACGACTACAACTTCAAAGGACCAAGTCATGACTTTACGGGCATTTAAATACTTGATATCCAACGCTCTAGCAGTGCCTAGCAGCATGTATCGTAGTTTGAGAACGCGAGAAAGAAATATGCACTTAAAATTAAAAAATAAACTCCCGAAACTTTCAGCTAAAATGTCCTCCACCCAATGTAGAATCAATTGTGTACACAACCTAAGAAACATCGGAAGACCACATACAATGCATAGC